GGATGTGGAGAAGTCTCCAAAGATTGGGAAATGTGTGAAAACCCCCAAATCTGGTGGGTTTTGGAGTGGAGGGGCAGCAGCAAGGGGGTCCCTTACATGAGGAGGAGGAGCAGGGAAAGAAGATGGAACAGGGAAAAATTGCTCCAGGATTTAATGGGAGCTGGGAGAGCTCGGGTTCCGAGGGACAGGACGTGGAGGAGCCTCCAAACCCGGTTTTGTGAGCGGGAAATCTGTGAAAATCCCCAAATCTGGCGAGTTTGGAAAGCCAAGGTTCAGCACCAGGGGGTCTCTCACATGAGGAGGAGGCTGGGGAAGAAGAACAGAAGGAGCAAGGGAGGAAGGAGCAGGGAAAGAAGGAGGAACAGAGGCAAAGATTTCCCCTGGATTTAACAGGAACTGGGAGAGCTTGGAGAAATCTGTGAAAATCCGTGAAAACGCCCAAATCTGGCAGAGGGGCAGCACTGGGGGGGTTCCCCCGCGTGAGGAGGAAGAGGCTGGGGAGGGCTCGGCTCCCTGCGGGCTCGCCGGGGCTCTCACCACGAGAATCAGTCAATTCCCGCTGAATAATTAACTCGAGAGGCTTCCCAAGTATTGACTTAACGTGACAGCGAGTCTGTCTTGAGCCGGGCTTTGCTTGTGTAAACACAATCTCCTGTTGGGCTCAGTTAGCGGCTCAATGGGACAGAACAGGCCCGCAATTAAAATCAAGCGGCGCCCGCGCTCCGTCCTCCCCTTCCCCGGGAGCTTCAGGGCTCAGGGATGGAAGAAAATCCACCCAAAAAAGGCCTTTGAGTCACCGATCTCAGCGCCGGATCGAAATTTGGCGGCCCGAAACACGCGTGGAGAACGAAATTGTTAATTAGGAACTGCCGTGTTTTGCCTCTTGCCGGGTTTCCTCTGCTTTGGGAGTTTCTCCCCGGGTTTGTTGTGGGTTTGGGGTTTTCCTACCGCGTCCACAGCCCTGAGCAAGGGATTGCAGAGGCTGGGAAAGTCCTCCAGGAGCAGAGTCCAACCTTTGGAACCCCCTTTGTCCCCAGCCCAGAGCTCTGAGGGGCACCCCCTGGTGCTCTGTGGGCATCTCCAGGGCTTCCCTGGGCATCTCCAGGGCTTCCTTGGGCATCTCCAGGGCTTCCCTGGGCATCTCCAAGGGTTCCCTGGGCATCTCCAGGGCTTCCTTGGGCATCTCCAAGGGTTCCCTGGGCATCTCCTGCTCATCCTTGGGCATCTCAAGGGGTTCCTTAGGTATCTCAAGGTGTTCCTTGGGCACCTCCAGGGCTTCCTTGGGCACATCCTGGCATTCCCTGGACACCTTGAGGGGTTTCCTGGACACCTCCAAGGGTTCCTTGGGCACCTCCAGGGGTTCCTTGTGCACCTCCTGTGGTTCCTTGGACACCTTGAAGGGTTTCCTGGACAACTCAAGGGGTTCCTTGGCCACCTCCAGCGGTTCTTTGGATACCTCCAGGTCATCCTTGGGCACCTCCAGGGGTTCCTTGGGCACCTCCAGGTCATCCTTGGGTATCTCAAGGGGTTCCTTGGGCACCTCCAGACCATCCCTGGACACTTCCAGGGGTTCCTTGGGCAACTCAAGGCATTCCTTGGATACCTCCAGGGGTTCCCTGGACATCTCCAGGCATTCCCTGGACAACTCCAGGGGTTCCTTGTGTACCTCCAGGCATTCGTGGACTTGTCCAGGGGTTCCTTAAGCGTCTCCAGGCCATCCTTGAACCCCTCCAGGCATTCCCTGGACACCTCCAGGTCATCTCTGGACACCTCCAAGGGTTCCTTGGGCACCTCCAGGGGTTCCTTGGACACCTCCAGGTCATCTCTGGAAACCTCCAAGGGTTCCTTGGGCACCTTGAGGTGTTCCCTGGACACCTTCAGCCACGGAGACTCCAAACCTCCCACGGGCAGCCCCTTCCCAAGCCCTGACCCCCTTTCCACATGGAAATTCCTCTGGAATTCAGGCCGAGAGCCTCAGAACTGCAACAAAAATTTCCCTTTTTCCCTCCAGCCTCCCGCGGCTCGGCCCAGAACAGGTGACTCCTCTCCCCAGACGACTCCTCCTGGATAAAACAAATCCATCCATTGATCTTTCTTTCCCCTCCCCTGTGAACTCCTCGCTCGATTTGGCAGCGGGTCATCCACAAAAGCCGACTTTTATATTCCAGCTTCCCTCTTTCCTTCAGCCGCTCCCCCTCCCAGGGACTCTTTGAATTTACCTGGGAGCGTTTCGAGGGGAATTTTTTTTTTTTTTTTTTCATCTCAGCATCTCCCAGCTTCAAAGGAATCCCTCTCCAGCAGGATGGGGATGTTGGGAGGGCGATGCCCAGCGGGATTTTCGTGTCTCGCCGAGTTTTTTCCGTGTTGTCGCAGCTTCCTGAACATCCCCAGCTGGGCAGGAGAGGGGGAGCAGATTTTTTTCCAAGCTCTTTTTTTTTATTTTAAATTCCCTCAGTCCCCATAAATTGCCTGTTAAAAAAAAAAAAAAATCAAATCCACTTCTGGAGGAATCCCGGTGTCTTTCCCATGAAATATTCAGGAGCAGGATGCTGTTGGGTTTGATGTGTGCTGAGTTATCGCCGCGGCTGGGGGGGATGGGAGTATTTAACACTCAATTAAGAGCTTTAAAAAAATCACTAAAAAAAACCCCAAACCCATCCTAAAACCTCCCTGTTTGGTAAATTTTAATGTCAAAGCCAGTGGGGTTCTGGTGGTGCTGGATTCCTGCAGAAAAACAGGGAATGGGAGAGGAGCTGGAGGCAGGTGGGCTCTGTAGGGATGATTGAAATCCTCTAAATTTGGGATTATGTGCGCCGGGGGCGGGAGGACAGAAATAAAAATCCCCTAAATTTGGGATTTATGCACCTGGGATAAATGCACAGGTACCAAAAATCCCCTAAATTTGGGATTTATGCACCTGGGATGAAAGTACAGGCACAAAATGTCCCCTAAATTTGGGATTGTGTGTGCTGGGGGTGGGAGCACAGAAATAAAAATCCCCGAGATTTGGGATTTATGTACCTGGGATAAATGCACAGGTACCAAAAAAGTCCCCTAAATTTGGGATTTATGCACCTGGGATAAAAGTAGAGGTACAAAATGTCCCCTAAATTTGGGATATCTGCACCAGGTGTTTGTGTAGGAACCCACAGAGTCCCTTAAATTTGGGATTCAAGCACTTGGGATAAATGTACAGGTGCACAGAACCCCCAAAATTTGGGATTTATGCACTGGGATTTAAAGGTATGGAATGAAAAAGCCCCTTAAATGCAGGATGTTTAAGGGGATCCGGGGATCCAGGTGCTTGGGAAGTGCCTGGATTTGGGAGCAGGGCCTGCTCAACCCCAGGATCCTGGGGCTGCCTTTCCTGGCATTTTTCCTTCAGGAATCCAAGAGGAGCAATTTGGAAGCCCCTAATTGGGAATCCATCCTTGGAGCGGGTTTGGGATGGCAGATCTGAGGGTGTATCCAGAATTAATGTTTAAAATCCCTTTTCTTCCACTCCTTTGGGTTTGGTTTTTTTTTTTTGTGGGGGGAGAGGCAACTCTTAGGAAAATCCTCCTCCATCCCTCATCCAGAGCCAGCCCAGCTCTTCCCAACTTTTCCAAGCCATCCCCACCTGCCTCCTCCAGCTGCCAGCAGCGACTTGGCACCGATCCCTCCTTGTTCCCGCTAAAATGGACTTGGCTCCTTCTCCTTTCCCTTTTTTTTTCATTCCTTTGGAGCCCTTGAAAGCCAAAACCCGCCGGGCTGGGGCTGAGCTTTTATTCCTGGCACCGAATCCCATCCGGCATCTTCCGAAGTCGCCGTGTCCAATGGGAAGAGTGACATCTGGCTTGGATATTCCTGAAGGATTTCCCAGCTGCATCCTCATGGGTTATGAAAGGAATAACATTTGCCTCGGAGGATGCTCCAGGCCGGGAGCGGAGCCCCGGGGAGCAGCGGTGACAAATTTTCCTGGCGCTCCGCGCTGAACTCGCCGCGCTTCCTGCAGGGAATTGACGTCCCTTCGCCTCGGATTTGGGAAGAGAGGGAAATGCTGTCGGAAAGTTTTATTCCTCTCCCGCGGAGAAGCTGGGGGAAGGAGCAGGTTTTTGGATTTCTGCCATTCCCACCCTGGTGCTGAGGTTTGGCTGCAGGGAGGGTGGAGCGTCCCCAAAAAATAAAAATGCTGGAAAAGCTTTCCTGGGCTTTGTGCAAGGAAAATTCCCTTTTTCCCTCCTCTCTTCCAGGAGTTGAGGATCTGCCCCGGGAATGGGAGTGGGATGGAGCCTCTCTGCTCTGTGGGGAGTTTTCCATGGGCTGAGTCACAAGGAAGGAAAATAAACATGGAAACAACGCTCCTGGTGGGGGAGTTTTATTTCCAGGAAGAAGGAGGGGGAGAAAGTTTTCTCCTCACCTCAGGCATCATTGCAGTGCTTCAGAATCCTGGTTTTCCCTGGAATTCCTGCTTCTTCCTGAGCTCTTCCTCCTTCCCCATCCTCCCATCCATATTGTGGAGCAGCCCCTCAGACCTCCCCAATTCCATCCCTTCCTGAGGATGGTGGGGGAGTTTTATTTCCAGGAAGAAGGAGAGGGAGAAAGTTTCCTCCTTGCCTCACTCACCACGGCAGAACTGCAGAATCCTGGTTTTCCCTGGAATTCCTGATTCATCCCGAGCTCTTTCTCCTTCCCCATCCTCCCATCCCCATCGTGGAGCAGCCCCTCAGACCTCCCCAATTCCATCCCTTCCCGAGGACATTCCTCTTGTGTTTTTGCTGTTCATTGGGATCTGGGCCGTGGATGAGCACGGCCATTCCCAGGATCCTGTCTCCTCTTGGGAGCGCTTGGACAACCCAGATGGAGAGCCTGAATTGCCCTGGAATTCCACAGCCACTGTGTGGGGATGTTGGGAACGGGGCACTTTTATTCCGTTCAAAAATTCCCGCTGGCCGCGGGATCACTCTGGGATGGAATTGGCGCTAAAATCCCATTGTTTCCCCACTTTTCCTCCTCTGCAGATCCCGGCTGGCCGATTTCCACACCAACTGCCAGGCCACCTTCCAGTCCCTGACCAACTGTCCTGGGGACAACTTCCAGGCGTGCCTGGGCTCCTACGCAGGGCTCATCGGTGAGTGCCGGGAGTTGGGATTGGGAATGGCTTTTCCCACTGGGATTTCATCTCCATTCCCTCCTCCTCGCCAGGCTTTGACATCACCCCCAACTACGTGGACGCCAGCACCACCAGCATCACCATCTCGCCCTGGTGCTCCTGCAAAGGCAGCGGGAATATGGAGGAGGAGTGCGAGAAATTCCTGCGGGATTTCACGGAAAATCCCTGTCTCCGTAAGGCGCTTCCCCGCCCCGCCCCTTTTCCCTTGTCCTGTCATTCCCATCCTTCCTAAATCTCTCCCGCCGCCAGGAAACGCCATCCAAGCGTTTGGGAACGGCACCGACGTGAACCTGGCTCCCAAAATTCCCAATCCCGCCGTGACGGCGCTGCCGAAGGCGGAGAAGAGCCCGGTGCTGCCGGACGATGTCAACGACAGCAACACCGCCTACGACACGAGCGTCATCAGCACCTGCACCTCCCTCCAGGTGTGGCCCAGCCCCTGCCGCAAACTGGGAGCACTGGTGGGGCTGTGGGACAGCGGCCGCATCCCGTGGGATTGGGGAAATGTCCTGCTTGGAGTCATCCGGGGATGGATGGGATCCCTTGGAGGGATCCAGGCACTGTTTGGGGTGGGAAATGGGATTCCCCACCCGTCTTACCCCTCACCTGCCAAGGTGGCTCCCCGAGCCTGACTTCTGCTTGTTTGGGAGCTGGAATTCCAGGGTTTTTTGGGAAATCTGGGAAATCCGTGCTGTCCTGCCCAAGCGCTGGGTTTGGGCGTCCATGTTCTGTTCCATGGGTGGAAAAGGAGTTGGAGGGAAATGGGACTGGGGAATGGCTGGGGATGTTCCGGGAATGGGAGAAAAATGGGACTGGGGAATGGCTGGAGATGTCTCAGGGATGCAGGGAAATGGGATTGGGGATGTTCCAGGAATGGGGAAAAAATGGGATTGGGGAATGGCTGGAAATGTCCCAGGAATGGGAGAAAAATGGGATTGGGGAGCGGCTAGGGATGTTCCAGGAATGCAGGGAAATGGGACTGGGGAATGCCTGGGGATGCAGAGAAATGGGGTTGGGGAATGCCTGGGGATGTCCCAGGAATGGGAGTGGGGAATGGCTGGGAATGCAGGGAAAGGGGACTGGGGAGTGGTTGGGGATGTCCCAGGACTCCAGGCAGGGTCACAGTGGCAGTGAGGCAGGACCCACGGAAGCCCCTGGGCTCCCTGTGGAGATGGGATGAGCCATTCCAAAATCTCCCTGCGCTCCATCACCCGCTCCAAGCTGATTCCCAGAGGGAAGTTCGGGATCCCAAACCAGCTCCAGGGGCACATTCCTTCCCTAACCATTCCCGATTTCTCCTGCCAGGAACAAGGCCTGAAGCCCAACCAATCCAAGGAGCAGAGCTTGTGCTACTCCCAGGTACTTGGGCGGTCCCGGGGCTGGGAATTCTCTCCCAAAGCAAACATCTTGGGAATGCCATCCCAGAGGTGTCTCCCAGCTTTGGGATGCTTTTCCCTAAAACCCCACTCCTGTCCCTCCTCGCCAGGCCCAGCTGACCACGGATGTGATGCCGGACCAGAAGACTTTCATGGATCCCAAGGCGGGAAGCAGCCGGCAGCGGGAGAGCCGGATCCTGCTCCTCATTCCCATCCTGATCCCAGTGCTGGGGCTATAGAGGGGCGGGAAGGAGCGGCCGGTGGGACGGGGACGCTCGGACCAGTGCCACCAGTGCCCACCAGTGCCACCAGTGCCCACCGCCGCCGCGCTCGTGCCGGAGACTGGAACGCTCCCAAATCCCGGGAATGCCGAGCTCTGGAGAGGCAGGAGGAGCCTCTGCCACGCTGGGAAACTTTGGTGGTTTTCTTCCTACTTTTCGTTTTTTCCCGTTTTTTTGGGGGATTTTTTCTTTTTTTTATTTTTTTGTGGTCTTTTCTGGGTTGGTTTTCCCGAGCGGCTCCTGGGAAAACTCCCTGGAATGGGCCTGGAATGGGGGTCTGGAGCTGCCAGCGGTGCCGGGGAGGGGAAAAAAGTCGGAGAAAGGCGCTGGGAAAGGTGAATTTCAGGATTCTTTGCACTGGGGTGGCCCCAGGGACAACGAGGATTCCGCATGGGAACATCGTGGAGGATGAAGGCGCCATCGGGAGCCGCCTGGAGGGGACTCCTGCTGCTCTTCCCGTTGGTTTTTCGGGGGGATTTTGGTTGGGGTTTTTCCTCGGAGAGTTTCCGAATGGAAGAGAAAAGAAACTGGTGTGAAACGTGTGAGGTTGTGCTGATGTTTTCAATCATTCCAGGGGAAGAGGTTCCATTTTCTTTTTTTTTAAATTTTTTTTAAAATTTTTTTTTATTTGGAATTTGGGTTGGGAGTGGAATTTGACCCATCCAGGGTCAGAATTCCCTGTTTTCCCTCTCCATGTTATTTCCTATATGCATATAACATATGGATATTCCCATATACATAACCCTTACCCATGCTGTGGCTTTTTAATTCCCATTTTTCCCTTTATTTTCCCTCTTTTTTTTAAATTTTTTTTTTTTTTTAATTCCTCCGATTCCCGCAACAACTTCCAAATGTATTCTTGGAAAATTTATTTTTTTTAACGATGTCTATAATGGAAAAAAAGAAAAACCAAAATAAACCAAGGAGAACAAACCAATGAATGAAACAGCCCTAAAATCCAAGATTCCATAAAAATCCCCATATCTGGGGGCAGGGGGAAAACAGGAACCCTTCAGCTGCAGGAATGCCAAGATTTGGGTTGGAATTCAGCAATTCCCAGCCTTTTTTAACCTGCAGGAGACAACAAACAGGAAAAAATTCCCAAGGAGCTGCCACATTCCCGTTTTCTGGTGGTATTTTGGGAATTTTTATGTGCAAGAATTTCAGGTTTCGAATTCCCATCCCTCCCTTGATGGGGTTTGGAAATTTTTTCTCCCAAGGCAACCTGGCAGTGCTGAAAATGTTGGGATTTGGGGCACAGGAAGAGTTGAGGGGCTGGAGATTTTTATTTATTTGGGATTTTTATTTGGTGCGGCGGATTTTTATTTGGGGAGCGGAAATGTCAATTCCCATCCAACTGTGCCCGTGTGAAAAAAGGGATTTCGGGAATCTTGGGAGCCTGGGGATGGTAAAATTGTGGAATCACAGAATTCCAGACTGGGATGGAGTTTAAAATCATCTCATTCCAGCCTCTGCCATGGACTGGCACAATTCCCATTATCCCAGCTTGTTCCAACGAGGCCTTGGATGTTCCAGGGATGTGGAAAATGGGGATGGAAGGATCCCAGAGCTGTTTTCTGGGAGCTGGAGCTGCCTGAGAGAGGAGGGAGGGACGAACATTCCCTTTTCCAGCATGGAAAATCCAACGGGGGGATGTGGGAGCTGGCACAGGAAACATAAACAAATCCCGTCTCTCCTGGAATTCCTGCCGCAATCCCAAGGCTGCTTTTTCCCGGGATGGGGCAGCTCTGAGCCGGAGCCAGGTGTGGGGCAGCCAGAAAAAAAAGGGATTTGGGAGCTCCACGGCAAAATCTGGGATCCCTCCTTGGGGTGATTCCCAAATCTGGGTGTTCTCAGTGCGGGCTGGGAGCCCTGAGTGCTGCTGGGTTTCCTTGGGAAAGAGGCTGGAAAATCCAGCAGGGATTTCTTCCTGGTGCTGGGGGCGTTTCCCTGGGAAAGCTGGGAGTGCTCTGGGATTTTCCTGAAGGAGTGGGAAAGGTCAGGGAAGCATCTGCATCCAGCACCACTGGGCATTCCCAGTATTCCCTGCCCGGGAATTGTGATCCATGGAGATCCTGGGGTTACTGGGAAGTACTGGGAATGGGGATTTGCTCCAGGATTCTCTCCAGGAATGGCGGTTCCAACATTGGGAATGGGGATTTGCTCCAGGATTCTCTCCAGGAATGGCGGTTCCAACATTGGGAATGGGGATTTTCTCCAGGATTCTCTCCAGGAATGGTGGTTCCAGGACTCCCTCTGGGAATGGGCGGTTCCAGCACTGGGAATGGGGTTTTGGTCCAGGATTCCCTCTGGGAATGGTGATTCCAGGATTCCCTCCAGGAATGGCAATTCCAGCACTGGAAGTGGGTTTTGCTCCAGAATTCCCTCCAGGAATGGTGGTTCCAACATTGGGAATGGGGAATTGATCCAGGATTCCCTCTGGGAATGGCAATTCCAACACTGGGAATGGGGTCTTGATCCAGGATTCCCTCCAGGAATTCCAGCACTGGTATGGGGATTTGCTCCAGGAATGGTGATTCCAGGATTACCTCTGGGAATGGCGGTTCCAGCACTGGGAATGGGGTCTTGATCCAGGATTCCCTCTGGGAATGGGGAATTGATCCAGGATTCCCTCTGGGAATGGTGGTTCCAGCACTGGGAATGGGTTTTGCTCAAATATTCCCTCCGGGAATGGCAATTCCAACATTCCCTCTGGGAATGGAAATTCCAGCACTGCTCTGTGCCCGGGTTTGGAGTCATTCCCATCCCCTCTCCGCTCAGATTCCCAAAATCTCCCCAGCTCCACCCCAAACCCTGGTGCTGCCTCCACCACATTCCCAGCGCTTTAATTACAGGAGAGGAGAATTCCCGTGCTTTGTGTGGAAGTGAAAAACGCTGGGATGTAAAACCCCGGCTGCCAGGATGGATAATTAACTCTGGAGATAATTCCCTCTTCATTTGGACTCAATTACTTTCCCGATAGGAGAAAGTGCTGAAAACACAATTTTTATTTTTTTTTAATTTTTTTTTTTTTTTTTTTTGGGAGGATGTGGCACAAAATAATAATGGGAAAAAATCCACTCGAGCTTTTCCTGGGAGAGCTTTTCCTTCCTGGGATAAAGCAGAGGATAAATCCCAGTTAATGCTCCAGAATTCCAGCTTGGCATCGCCCTCCTGTCCTTGGAATTTTTGGGTTTGGGGGGGGGAAAAAAGAAAATTTTGGGGTTTTTTAGGATGGATCAGCTGGGGTGGGAATGTCACAGGGTTTGCTCCAAGGAGGAATTGCTGAGAAATGAGGTTTTTGTGGGACACTTTGGAATTCTGGAGGAGTTTTAAGGAATATTTTATGTCCCCAGGGTCATCTTGTGGTGCCCTCACCAAAACTCCTACAAATCCTCAAATCCCGATGGATAATTCCATGAGGAATTCCCCCTATTCCCCAGCTGGAATCTCCCATTCCCAGCCATTCCAAGGGGAATAAAAAGCCATTTAACCTCTTCGGAAAGCAAAGCATTTCCTGGAATATTCCACATGAATTCCCAAGCTTTTTCCTCCTGGCCACGTCCAGATTTCGTGACGGGAATTTTTGCCTCCTTAAAGAATTTTTGCCTCCTTAAGGAATTTTTGCCTCTCCAGGTGTTTTTATTCCTTCTCTCTGTGCCCAGGGCTGCAAATCCCATCTGGGCCCTTCCGAAGGAAATATTCCAAGAGGGATTTTTCTTTTTTTTTTTTTTTTGCATCCAGGTTTTTGGAGCAGCTAAAAAGTCCCCATGCTCCTCGGAGGAAATGCCAAGCAGTGGGAGCAGGGAGGAAAAAATAGATGGAAAAGGGTTTTAGGGAGGGTTTTAAAAATAGCGGATCTTTGGAGGAGAAATCTGGGAAGACGTCAGGAGGGAGCCTCAAACCCGAGGGGGAAAGAATATTCTGGAAAATTGGGATTCATTCATTGCTGGATTGGGGCTGTCCTGGTGTTTTGGGGTTCTCGCCTCAAAATCCAAGGAAAAGGGGTGAAAATGTGGGAGAGGGATGGGAGGATTTGCAGCTGTTTGGGATGGGAGGGGGAACATTGCTGGGTTTTCATCCAGGGGATCCAGGAGAGCTGGGAAAGGGACGGAGGGGACAGGACACAGGGAATGGATTCCCACTGCCAGAGGGCAGGGATGGAGGGGATTTTAGGAAGGAATTCCTGGCCGGGATGGAATTCCCAGAGGAGCTCTGGCTGCCCTTGGATCCCTGGGAGTGCCCAAGGCCAGGTTGGGATCATCTGGGATAGGGAGAGATGTCGGAGCTGGAACTGGCTGATCCCTAAAGTCCCTTCCAACCCAAAGCATTCCAGGATCCCGTGATTCTCCCAAAAACTTTGCAGGAGAGACCAAACCTTCCAGTAGAGGAGGTTTCAATCCCAGTAGATTCCAGTAAAATGCCTGTCTGGAAGCTCCTTGGGGAAAAAAAACAAAACCAAGATCCAAACCAGGATAAATGACAGCCATGGAAGCTCTTCTGTTTAACCTCTGGCCTTGGGAAGAAATCCATGAAAATGAGGAAAAGCTCCCGGGATTCACACGGGGTTAAAGACAGCAAATCCTGGGATGTGCCAGCAGTAATTCCCTGCCAGCTGGGACGTTGCCCTGCAGTGGGAGTGGGGGGCACAGCCAGCAGCCTTTTCCAGGAGGGGAATTCGCAGAATCATGGAATGCTCCGGCTTGGGAGAGACCTTGAAGCTCCTCTCATCCCACCCCTGCCAGGGGCAGGGACACCTCCCACGATCCCAGGGCGCTCCAAGCCCCTGCCTTCCAATTCCTTGGATTTGGGTGCCTTTTAAAAGGGCTGGAAAACCGGGAAAAGCTCTCCCGCACCTCTGCAGGGGGAGGTTTTGCTGTTGTGGCCGGGGCAAGGCCCGCATGGAGCCTTTTCCGCGTCCTCCTGAATTATTCCGGAATTATTCAGGAATTATCCCTGCCTCCCGCTCCAGCGCTGCATCTTTGCATCCGTTAATTAGGCTCGGTGGGTGAAATGAGT